ACACACACACACACACACACACACACACACACACACACACACACACACACACACACACACACACAACCATGTGAAATACCATGAACTGTAATTTTTCTGACAACATAGTATTTTATTCTATTGTTTTTCCCCATTTTTGGGGACGAATAAAGGTTCATCTTATATCTTATCTTATCTTATTTTATCTTTATGAAGTTCTGCACTTATTAGATCACAAAAAATCCAACTCACTATTTTAGAATTCGTGAAAATTAGAGATTTGATGTTGGCACATGTCTCTAATGTTATTCTAATACAAGGAGTGTGGTTTTATTGTAGTATTTGGGTTCTAATTTCAGTGTTTATGTTTGGTTTCTTGGTCTTTTCTTGTCTTGCACTTCTTGTGAAGTGTTAATAACCATGTCTGTATTAGTCTCCTTTGTGTATTTCTTAAGACGTTTAGTTTTAAGTGGTGGCTCTTCCTACTTTTACTTCTTGATTGGTGAATTGATTGCTTTTACCTGTGTTAATCTTATTTAGCTATGGCTTGTTCCCCTCCCGTCTCCAGTTCCTGCTATTTTTGCTTAGTCCACCAGTGAGTTATCCGTGTACGTTATTGGTTTAGCTTCCCTGTGCAGGTTTCGAATTTGTGTTTTTGGACTTTTTCCTTGGATTATGTTACATTTTGGATTTGCTAAAGAGCCAATAAAGAGCTCATCTTTTGTTCAGATCCTCTGCTCAACACTCCACACACCTACACTGTGAAACAGTCTCTTATTTGGTTTAATTTCATCATTATTCAGCTATAGTTGTTGTTCTTTTTTTTTTCTGTACCTTAAGCGTCAAACCTGTCTCAGGTGTTCTGTTATCGTCCCCCCTTCACGTCCATCTTGTTTCTGCACTCTCTGGTTTCCTTTTATTCTTATTCTTTGCATTTGTTTAGCTGCTGTTTTTGTTTTTGTTAGTGTTTTTGAATTTTTGTTAGTCATAGGATTTTCCCACCACAGTAAGTTTTGCATAAGTTCCTCATTTTTAAATGCCAACCTGAGAGTCTGCATTTGGCCTGCATATTGGGTCCTTTGCTAACTTGATCACTAATAGTGCCATCAAGTTATTGAAATTTTGTGTTAAAGTGACCCCTATCCAAAGTCTAACAAGGCAATCTCAATATGTAATTATTATTATTATTATTATTATTATTATTATTATTTGTAAATTGTTCTCAAGGCTTGTTCTCCCAAGTCTTGGCAAAACAAACATGTGGACTGCTTAAAAATGATTCGACCATCACCCAATGTAATGTTAATGCCACAAACATCATAAATGAACAGTATTGGTAACTGGTTTTATGGTTCCAGTATGCACCGGCTCTTTAATTGAAATCCTGGTATATAAAAATATACAAATGGCTGAGAGAGGAGCTGGGGAGAAGATGCGAAAGCAACAGTGGTCCCTGTGGGCACTCAGGGCAGTGGCACCCAAACTGGGCAAGAGGCTCCAGCAGATCCCAGGAATGACATCCAAGATCTCTGTCCAGAAGAGCACAGGCCTATGAGCAGCAAAGAGACTGTGTAGGACCTTCAAGCTCCCGGGCCTCTGTTAGAGAATCTGAGCTTCACGGATAAAGTCCACCCGCAGGGGTGAGAGGGAAGTTAAAAACAAATATTATATATACATGCATATAGGAATTTGTGTGATAGATTTTTTTCAGTGTAAGATATGTCACTATGACATGTCATATCATATCATGTCATGTCATAGTGACATGACTGGAGGAATTACAGTTATTTCTCTGCCAGTAATCAGTAGGCTTCTACTGCCATCTGCTGCTTTGAACCTTTAGCACTGCTCAAAACAGAGCAGTGTTTTTGTCAGCATCAAAGCCTGTCATAAAACAAAGCAAAATAAATAAATAAATAATAGTTTGGTTGTTTGATCAAATAAACTGTAGATTGATTTTCTGTTTTAAATACAACATATCCTGTTGACCCCTATGGATTCAATGCAGGTTTGAACAGCATTAAAAAGAACAGAAAGTAGTGCCAGGTTAAATATCCCCATCACAACCCCAACCTGCAGCTGCACACTCAGGACACCGGTGGGCTTGGCTGAACTTTCATTTCTCTGACCCTGCTTGTTTCTGAACAGAATAAAAATAGTAGTGTTCCTGTAAACAAGTTATTCAGTGAACTTTAAAGATGAACTCTAAATTCTGCAGCTTGGAAAGTAAGATTTTCACTGTCTATTTAAGATGATAACAAATTCAGATGAACAACAACACATGACATATTACCCCCTGTCATTATTTGTGCAGGTATTTTGATCCTCTCTTCTTTCTTCTACAAAGATGCGTCAGGTCACTGAAGTGAGCATTCCTTTATATTCCTTTGAGGTCTGCTACAGCATTTTTGGCAAGTTGCCTCTGAATTGTGCATTACATTACCTTCATTCTGACTTATAACTGTATACTTCTCTTCTTTCTTTCTTTTTAGATTATGAACTATTATGAGTAACAAATATATTTTCCTTTTAGTCTTCTATAACTATGAAGATTTATAGCTAAACTAAGATAAAAACTAAAACTAGATGTGAAAAAAAATATCCAGTTAAAATAAAAATAAAACATAGACTTTTGAGGAAAAACAGAACCTACTTGAAACTATTTTCTGAACTGGGAAAATCAAACTAACATAAAGACGATGAGATGAAATATCCTTAGTTTGCGAGTTTTATTAATTTTATTATTTCATCTTGTCTAATGATGCTTTGATGCCTTCACCATATGCCTTCCAACCATCCATTCATCCATTTTCTACCACAAATCTAGTGACTCACCAAGCAGAGAAGCCCAGACCTCCCTTTCCCCAACCACTTCCTCCACCTGATTTAACTGCTTTTAACAATAAAAACTATTTAGAAAATAACTACAAAGAATACACAGACATATAAGTATGTGGCAAAATGTGGATGGATGGAAAATACAAAACTAAAATCACAGACGCAGCCTTGACACAACCAAAAACCTAATCTAACATGCAAATGTTTTAAAAAGAAACATGAAGAGATCGCAATAGACTGCAATCGATCCTTTTTACATTTATTAAGAAATCCCATATAGGTTTTTTCCAGTAAAGTGTAACACACAAACTAATGCAGCAGTCGCACCACCAGCGTGTACCAGTAGACACATATATATATATGCATTTGTGCTCATGTGCATGACTTTTTCTCGTGCAAAATCACGTCCTGAGGCATAAATGACAAAAACAGCAGCAGCAACAACATCATAAACAATCATTTTTGTCAAAATTTTCCTGACAACTCTGGATTTGCATTCTGAATTCAAGACGACATAACCATAAGAAACTAGAAAACAAGCAAACATTAACACATCTAAAAATGAATAAATAGCTTTAATAGTAATAAATTGCTGCACATACATTGATAAAGGTAAGGCAGCAGAGTTTATTGGAATGAACAGAGATTTTTCATGATGAGCAAAAATCCCCTCAGATGTTTTGGTTTATACGAAGCTTGCTCTTTTTTTCCACAGCTGTGAATACCTGCGATTTCACAACTGTTGAATGTCCCTGGTGTGTTTGGCTGAACTTTCCTTTCTGTAAACATGGACCAAAACTTTCCATTATTGAGTAATCCTATGACATTGATCGTACAGAACAGAATATAAGACCAGTACGTCCCTCAGTAGTAAGTTATTCAGTGAGCTCTAAAGACTTGTCTAAACCGTGTAAAAAAAAAGAAAAAAAAGATTTAGATTTAAATTTTGTGACTTCTGCAGCCATGAAGTTGCTTGTGGCTGGGATTTTTCTCATTCTAATTGTGGAAACCAATGCCCAGTGGTATAATTTCCCAATTGAAGCAGCTAAAGGTTAGAAATATGGCATTTTAAATACCTAACAACAATCTGTCATATTTCTCAGATTTTGATATTTTAATTGTGAATGTTGTCATTATTTATTATCAGTACTGTTTTCTGTACTTCTGATCAGGGGCTGGTGATATGTGGCGAGCCTACAGCAACATGAGGGAGGCCAACTGGAAAGATTCAGACAAATACTTTCATGCCAGAGGAAACTATGATGCTGCACAGAGAGGAGCAGGAGGCAGATGGGCTGCTGAGGTTATCAGGTTTGACAACCTACTTTACTGAAATTCATTTGTATTTTTGATTAACTAATCACTAATTTGTTAAGGCTGCTAATTCTGCTTCTCTCATTTTTTCAGTTTCTGATGTTGTTCTGAAACGTACTTACTGAAGATAGGTGGATTCACTGTCTATTTCCATTTTAGTGACACCAGAGAGTGGGTGCAGGAGAGACTGGGTCATGGCGCTGAGGATTCCGAAGCTGATCAGGCGGCAAACCGTTGGGGGCGAGACGGAAATGATCCCAACCATTTCAGGCCCGAGGGTCTTCCCAACAAGTACTGAGCGCAAAGCTCATTGACTTACAGGAGAATAAAACTGTATGAAGACGTTTCTAGTGTTGGAGTTAGTGAAAACATGGTGTGTTAAACAGCCCAAATTTGTTGTTGCTCAGATACCTGAGCTCCATCAACTGATTCAATTCAATTCAATTCAATTCAATTCTATTCTATTTATATAGCGCCAAATCACAACAAAAGTCGCCTCAAGGCGCTTCATAGATACAGAGAAAAACCCAACAATCATATGACCCC